GTGGTGTTTTCGAAATCGAAGTTGTGTCCTTCTTGATCCTCGTGAATTGAGATGAGCGAGAGTGCATCGTGTCTTTTGACGGCCAGTTTGTGTTTGTGCTATTTTTCTCCCTGTTTGACCGATGTAGTGCTTGTTGCAGTCCTTGCAATTGATGCGATAGATCACATTTTTATCTTGTTACTTCTTGTGATAGGATTCTTCGTAGGGTCGTCGTCGGTTTGTGGGAACTTGAATGTCGTGTGGCTTCAGTATTCTCATAGTCGTTTCCGAAATGGTCTTCACATACGATAGGGTTATTCGTTTATTCGGCTGCCCATTTGTCCTTGTGTGTTGTTGTGTTCGAGTTATTGTCCGTTTGACGAAGTTGCGGAAGAATACTTGATAAGGGTATTATTCTTCTTGCTGCCTCAAGTTTTCAGTGATGCAGTGTGTTTTGCAATACAATTGCCAAACTCGGTGAACAACTGAACATCAAGTTATACTACCCGAGCCACTGAAACAACAATCAACACATTTGTTTACAAAACTGTAATATATATATATATATCTGCGAATAGATATGGTGCCAACGCCACAGCAACAATAAAAATAACAGAGGATGGGTGCATTGGGATACAGAACAGTGTAAAGTAGATTAAAGTGAGCAAGTGATTGCGTTCATACGTCAAGTGGTACTGCGTAAAATGAAGACGAATCCTGTAAGTCAACGCTGCATTTTAATAAGACCATGGAAATGCGTTCGTGCGACTCGGTCAGACTAGTATTACCTCTGCCGGCTAATTGCCCGTGGAAATAGTGGCTAAAAGAGGTTTCATCATCAGGTCGTGATTACACGTTACATTCAGCAATTCACAACAACATAGTATACCATATTTCCTCCAATGGAGCTACCGGCACTAATATCCCTTTGGCCATTATGCGTACCTTTACTTTCAGACAATTTCCCACCACGAGAGCAGGAACCGGTCTCATGGATTGAGACAATAGTACACCTAAAGTCTCAGTGTGGTCGGGATTATGACTACTCACCCAAAGCTGGCACCTCATACCACCAAGCGTCTCAAAACGTCTGTGCTGAGGAAGCCCTACTCACTGCTTATCCGTAGCGGTATATTCTCACCAGAGTGAGGAAACGAAAAGCCAATATCCGGGTTAGTAAAACCTTGGTAGTTCACCTAAGGGAGTTGGTTAAAGACCATGAGTTCAAAACAACCCCACAACTTCCTCTTTGTGGTAGTGATCACCGGCTCCATTGGGCACCTGGGACGTTTGACCCCGTCCCAAGGGTGTATTATTCGATGAACTGGACATCAGTTTTAAATGGGTTGTGTTTTTCACGTACCACCTGGCTGCCTTTGCAGGTCGGACTTTGGACAGCTGAAGACTCCACTGAGATAATTCTTTAATAAAATTCACCTGCGCGACCTAGCCGTATTCTGACCGTTAGCAGCAAATCATGGACCGTGATGAAAATTGCAGAAAATTATTGTGCCGTGATTTGTTCAGCATAAATTCTGAAATGAAGCGCGTGTGTACAACACATGCAACATATACATCGAGGCAGCAATCCCAAGGACCACTGACCTTCTTTCTCTCTAGCCTTGAACAGCCATGTACCACATTCAGGGGCAATTGTCGCCCCATGTCCCGGGTCATCACCGCCGACCGTTCGGGACCGCTTGTTCAATGAAACACACGCGTAGTTAATCAATCAGCTGTATGTTCTATCCACGATCTGCACGCGTCCCTGGTTGCAGTCAATGAAGTAGTAAAACCACCAACAACGCGTACACTACACTACCCACACACGCCAATGATAGTTCAGCCGTTCCAGAATAGAGAGAGAGTGCGCGAACGAAACAAAAGATTGACTGTAATGAAGAGTGAGTTTTATAATAAAAAACCGTCCAGAGATACAAGACAGACAAACCACCACTTAGACAGAAAAATCTCAGGCTCAGCATCATCCGT